CAGGGCAGCAGGCAGCCACACCAACCACCCCACACAGCCAGAGATGTAAGAGCGTAAACTGGCAGAAAATGGAACAAGTGAGCCAACTGGGGCCACATAAAGTCATCTTTTTCATGCCACGAGGCAGATGCCTCATGATGCTTAACAGCAGCCTGACAATTTGACTTACATTACACCTTCCCCACACAGCACAGGAATACATTTTCCTTCAGGACTGCCCATATAGGTGCCATCTTCCCCCTCCGTCCTTGTGCCGAGTGTGGCTGTGCCCCAGACCTGCTCTGGTCGGTGACCCACAGCCAGAAGCACCCTGGCTTTTCTGAGAAGTTTAGTTCTCAGAATGTTTTATTGGCTGGATAGCCTCTTACTGAAATTACTGTACAATTTTCACTTGTTTCAGCCAAAATTGAGGGCAATTTTGCTTAAATAAGCCTGTCCGTGCCATTAGCTCTATTTCACCAGGGAAATTTGCTCTCACTTGTGCATATGACATCACCTGTTGACATAACCTCACCGAAACAGGCATTTCAGACCCTTACACTCTGCCATTTCGCATACTGCAATTACACTCAAGCTTAAATCAATCTTTGACCATGTTGCACCGTGTTTCTCTTCTCTACCATTCACTTCTTTCCGCTTTGTTTTTCCAAAAAGTAGTATTTGCTTCTGGAGACCTGCATTGGTTCCCATCATGCCCAGAATCTCAACTATAGAAACAAGTTTTAAGAATAGCAGATCTTTTCTAGTGACAATTTTACATATCAAATCATACATTCCACTTCTAAAACAACTTGGGAAAAAAAACATCTAGTTAAAAAAAGACCCCTCTGCCCAGTTAGCACAACCCAGCAGAGGTTTTTACCATGTCTTGTGAAGGTAACCGCTGTAGGACCCCAACTGCACAAGTCCTTCAGGTGGAAAAAAACCTCAACCTGTTAAATAAAGCCTGCTTTAATGCCCTTCTGTTCTCAAATAAGGTTTTTCTGCTGTGAAAAGTAGAAGCCAGTCGCATTAATTCTCACACATAGCAGGGATTAAATCAGTTTAATAGTTACCATACAACCGCTTAAATGTTTCAAGTATTCTTTCTGTCTTCATACCATTACTGCAGTTACTACACATAGAACATTCAAGCATTTGAAGTGATACAGCATTTAGACAAGAGCCATGAAGAGGAGTTCAGTGCCAGACATGACATCCACGTTTTCCTTCTCCTCCATCTGAAAGAGCCCTTCTACCTTGGCATTTCCACTTCGTATGGCAACCACCAACAGTCCAAAAATTTGTTTTAACTCGATCTCTTAGTCTCATTGGTAGGCAATAACCAGAAAAGACCCAAGGAACTGTGATAAGATTACCTGCCCATCTGAGCTTTTGGGATTTGCTGCAGATTAGCTCCTCATCATTCCCAGGAATTTATCCACTGGCATTGATCTCCCTCTTTAGGCACACCCTACCGCGTTTCGAGCTAATTCTCTTCTCCACAAAACCCTCACAGGAGTCATTACACAAGAAAACCTCAGAGACCGCAGCCCCTCAGATAAACAGCACAGCTAGCAATTCCCAAATCAAAAGTATTACATTTTACAAGTGGAGTCACAAGCCCTACAAACTCAGTTGTTAAAGAGAAACCATAAACCAAAGAGCAATGAAGCAGGTCAGAAATCGAGATGCAGGAAAAGCTGGTTTAGGCAATTATATGATTAGAGGTCACTTCCAGACTAGAATAAAGTCCCACTTACCACTTAAGACCTCTGACCAATCATCTGCTCCATAGCTGTAAAGCTCATGGAATTGGAGTACAGCTCTTTTTGAAGTTGACAAGATAAATGAGACTATCTGGTACTTGGTAAAGAGAAGTAGCTAAAACACTTAGCGGTAGTTCCTATGAGAAGTTTAAAGCCCTGTTACCTTCCAGGTTCAGTATGCAGACTACCCCCAGCCCATAAAAAAAGAAACGATAGTACTTTATTAAAATACTAAATTTTATTTTTTTTCCACGTACATTTAGTCTCCCCACCATTTCCATTTGTCTGACCACCACCATGCCTTATCAAAACATTCCATACATACTTAAAATGAAGCTGAGGGTGGAGTCCCATCTTTAAAAACTAAACAGGCATTTTGGACAACACATTCTTGGCAAGGTAATCTGGATGACATTTATCAGACACGGTAAGGAAAGCTCTTTCAGCATTTGTAAAAAGGACAGCCAAATAATGGTTACAGAAATAAGACTGCAGATTTTAATGAACTGTTTAAACTGTTTTCTTTTCTTACAGAGTCTGTCTCCACTGCCAGAGAGCTTGAATGACCTGGAAGTGTACACAAAAAGTTAGAAATTGAAATCCATTTTTCTCATTTTCAGTTTACTATCTCCACTTACTCCACAAAATATTGACATTAAATTACAACCAAAAAAATATGCATTTCTCTCAGAGAAAATCAAGTAGAAAGCAAGGCATTAGGTCCTTCTAGAGTCACAATAGTAAGAATTCAGTGAAGGTAAGTGAGAGGATGGGTGTGGACCAGCTAGGCAAATATTGGCTGAACTCTGCCTACCCTGTCTAATGTCAGACCAACTCCAGTAGCTGAGGCTAACTGCTTTTAAACATTCCTTTAAGAACCTATCAATTTGTCTATCAGACAAGTTTACTCTGAACCACTGAGGGAAGCAGAAAAGCATAAGGAATTCTGTCACTGGAAGAAAGTTTTAGCTTACAAGAATTTTCATAGGGAAATCTAAGACACATTTTAGCCCAGTATATGTTGAGTAATACCTAATTCAGAAACTTGTTTCCTGATACCACCTTTTGGCTTGCCCTCTTACAAGAGTTCAGTTGACTTTGGGAGAAAACATAGCAAGAAAGCCATAATCTCAATCACAAAACAGTTCCCCCTCCCAGACACCCTCCCCAACAAAAGGCTGAACAGACTGGCCTAGGTGGCCAAATTCAGCAGCAAGGAAAACCACAGCTCATTTCCTTAGCCAATATGGTGCCAAAAGGAAAATTCTGCGGGTTTAGTAAGCAAGAGATAATTTACCAACCATATAAAAGCTGGAAAAATGTAATAAAATATTAGCTTTCCCATCTTAGCCAACTAAACCCTTAAAACCATTCCCATTTATTTAATTTGAAGTATTGTTTGTGGTTTGTAACCCTTTGAAACAGTCCAAAGCTTGTAAAGATTAAGAAGTGGAAAAGAATCCCTAACTCAGGTTATAAAAGTTTTTGGACTTTATCAAGTCCCAGTAAATTCACTTACCTTCTGGTCCTCCGTCCTGAAGCAATTCTTAACATAGTTGGCAAATTTGGGTTCCAGCTTAGGAAGGGAAGAACCCTAATTTAAAAAAAGCAAGCTTTAGTGTATGCAGGTCATTTAAAGATTCCAATAAATAACTTATGAAGCTTAAACCCTTTGCAATACACATGGAATTTTACTGAACTCACCTTGCAACATTCCAAACTAATCTGCTTTTGAAGCATTTTTAGAAGTTTGCTTCTCTACAGTACCCAAGTATTTCTCACAGGAGCGAGTGCCTACACACCAAAATGGCTGTAACAAGCATCTTTGCTCACGCTCAGAAGCAGAACAGCAAGCGTTCACCACTTAAGATAACCTTGTTTGTAGTCAACACCCTCATGCTATTCAGATAAACTGGAACTAATTCCTTATTTATGGATTCTTACTAGAGCAAACAACTCGAGATATTACGGTCTTTCACAGGTAGGTTTTTGACTTCAGCTCTCTAAAGCAAAAAATTAACTGGTCTCTCACCTAGTCTTTTAAGACTCATTCTAATACATCAGTTCTATGAATTTAAAGAATTGTTCTAGAAACTTTTGCTTGAAATTGTCTTTGCGCATACTCAATGTACAAAGCAGATTCAGTAATTCACAGATCTAGGTTTACCTTCATGTCTTCTGTCTCTAGGCAAAATAATATAGCACACCATTTTAAGAGACACTGCTTTCCTTTCATATGCCCTATGAGTAATATTTTTCCTATTTTTCAGGTACATCAGTTCAAATATACCTAGCCAATTATGACAGTACACTTCACTGCTAGTCAGCACATTGTTTCCTTTGAACATAAAATGGCTGTCTTCTGCAAAGCTACATTAGGATTATTTGAAATGTCAATATTGCAACCAAAAAGCTTGGATATGGACAGTGTCTTACCCCTGGATTCTGTCAAGTACCAATGCTACTCTATTAGCCAGTTGACACTGACTTACTATATAATACAGCAGTTCCACTCCAATTAAGTTAATTTTTTTTTAAGCTACTAACTTGCTGGCTGTCAGCTAAAAGCATTATTGTATATGGCAACACACAAACCTTTCGCCTTGCTAAGGACCACAATAGCACCACCTTGGAAAACACTAAATTAAGCTGTCTGCTGTTGCACCTACATATTTGTGCTTACCCAGCACTTCCCAGTAACAACTCTTCAGTAGCAGAAAGCCTATTCTAACGCTACTTGCCAGCTATCCAGT